CATGGAGCTGCATCCATTGGCCTGCCCTGCTTGCTGAGAAAACCCCTCCTGGGTCTGGACCCGTGCAGAGAGCTGGGTGCATTAATCCTTTGACGGAGACTAAAGTAAAAGTCAACAGTGTGAAAATTATCTAAACACAACATTATTCCCCCTAGATGCTGATTTTGAGTTAGTTGATTTTCATTGGTATTTTATAAATGTGTGAAGGATGTTTCTGATTTGACAGCCTCGTGTAGCACAAGAGGAAATTGCCAGAAAAATACAAGGGTAAAGAGGTTGGAGAGATGACTCAGTCAGGAAAGTGTTTGCCATACAAGCATAGGGGCCTGAGTTCTGATACCCAATGCCCTTAAGAATCCAGGTGCAGAGGTGTGTGCATGTAATCGCCACACTGAGGAGCCTGAGAGGGGAGGGCCCTTGGTCCCTGTGGCTCACCGGTCAGCTAGTCTAGCCTATTTGCTGAGCCACAAATTCAGTAAGAGAATCTCATCTCAAAAAACAAGGAGAAGACCCATTAAAGAAGATACCCAGCATTGACCTCTGGCCACACACACACCTGTATACATACACATGAATATGTATATGCAAAAGAAATTTTAACATGCATATCATGTGAATGTCATGGTGTTTTTCAAGATCTTTGATCCTGGATCTCACTCTAGCCCAGGCTGGCCTTGACCTCGCTCAGAAGGTAAGATTGGCCTTGAACTCAGTACAAAGTCCAGCCTGGCCTCAAACTTGGCAGTCCTGCTTCAGCCTCCCTGAGTGCTGGGATTATAGGCACACAGCATCACATGCCATTCACAGTCTGATCTTCCTTGACTTCCTGTTTGAAGGAGAATAACTTCACTGCACATAGATTATCTCAGGTACTGTGGACAGTAACCGTGTACTGCACACCTCAAAGAAGCCAGAGGAAAGGACTTTGCATATTTTTGCCACTAAGAAGTGAGAAATGTATAGTTTCCCACCGACTCACATAATGTGAAGTATTGCATGGTTCCCCATTCACACTTGCATTTCTTATGGTTGTATATCAGTTAACAAATGAACTCATTTCTAAAGAACTAGCCAATGAACATTGAAAAGCATGCATGCATAGTGTGGCTTGGAAAGTGGAAGAAACATAAAGAACCATATGCGTGCTTCTCTACTCGGTCAGCTCATGCATTCGATGTCGCAGGTCCAGCAAAGTGAAATGGTGAGCAGACAGGGGTGTGTTCATTCACTGCCGAAAGCTGCCTGCACATTTACAGTAGAACTGGGAGGAAACGGCTGGTCCAGTGTGATGGAGCTTAAATCTAGCAATGGAAGGGAATGCACAATGAGGTTTATATGCAAACATGAGGAATTCGGCAGATATGAAAGTAGGGTCCGTGGGGACTGCTGTGTCAGAAGTGAGCTTGTGTAGGAACTCGGGTGACAGCGCATGGTTGTCTCACATCCTCTGGGCTGGGCTGGGCCTGGGGAACACACAACATGAAGGATGGAGGCTCTTAACTAACAAGGGCGAGATGGATATGGAAACTTACGATACAAAGCCAAAGCTGCTAAGGGTAGGAAGTGGCGCTGGAGCGTCCACAGGGCAGATGAAAACGGGGGGGGGGGTGTGGACAGGAAGTTGGAGTGTCGGGTGTGGGAGAGGCTCTGAGAGTGGGTGCCAAACAGAGCCTACCGGGAAAACAGCCAAGGAAGGCACCGAGAGATGCTGCACTCGAGGAACTGCTATCCAAGGACACCTTAGGGTCCGTATCTCTGAGAGTCAGGAATTCCTCATTAACTACACACTGTAGGGCAGGTAAAGAAGAGAAAAGGCCACTACGGGAAGGCAGGACGGGAGGCATTGTGGGTGAAGAGATGTCTACTTCGCTGTCTGATAAATATGAGTGCAAAGGCAAGGCGGGCAGGACTTGACAAGGGAACAGCTGCTGGGTGAAAAGCTGTCAGCAGAGTCTCCCCAGGACTGTGGAACCAACCGGCTTTTAACCCATCTGATTGCCCGCAGGCCTGATGGCTCCAGCCATCAGACAGGACAGCGCCAGGGTCGAGCAGAGTTTACTAGAGTGTATGTGTGCGCGCTCCTCTGCCCTCCAGAAGCCGGGGCACACAGAGGCTGTGGTTACGTTACAGCTAGGGAAAACAGCACCCCAGGAAACTAGCTGCTCATCCAGGAGGGGTCTGGTTGCATCTGAGATCGCAGCAGCACGATTTCTATTCTATTTCAGTTGTGTTTTGTCTCCTCCGGTGCAAACCCCACTGACAACTTATGCCTCATAGTTTTCGTCACTGAGATTTTCAACACCCTGGACGTCGCTTGTCAGTGGTGGCATTCATCTTATCAATACAGAATGTTTTAATAAAATTTCCCAAGTCAGCCATTATGGCCTGGGCCTGTCATTCCAGTGATTGGGGGGAGGAGGAGGAGACAGGATGAATGCTGTGAATCCAAGGCCAGCCTGGGCTATACAATAAGTCCCTGACTGTACATGAGCCCAGCCACTGAAAAAAGATAAAAACTTAAAAACAAAAAAACAACAACAACAACAAAAAAAAACTAATCTATATCACTCCTGGGTTTACAGCTGAAGGACTCTGGGGCAACATACCTTAGAGACACCTGCACATCTGTGCATATTGTCATATTAGTCATTAAAGGTCATAGAGTCAGCCACCATGTCTGCTGAAAAGACGGATAAAGACAATATATATATATATATATATATATATATATATATATATGAGTTGTATTCAATAATAAATTTAAAAAGTATGTGTATAACCATCCTAGGTACATTTTCTGTTGCTATGAGAAAACATAGACCAAAAACAGCTTGGGAAAGAATGCGTTTATCTCAGCTTACAGGTAAGATACCATCACCACAGGCTCCTTGGGCTTCTATCCCAGGAGGGACTCAAGACTGAACCTGAAGGTGAGAACTGTAGCAGAGGTCATGGTGGATGCTGTCTACTGGACTGGTCCCCAGGCTTGCTCAACCACCTTTTGTATACATTCCAGGACCACCTGCCCAGGGGCGGTACCGCCCACAGGGGGCTGGGCCCTCGGACTCAATCAGCAATCAAGACCAGGCCTACAGGCCAATCAGATGGAGGCATTTCCCTCGAGACCAGGCCTACAGGCCAATCAGATGGGGGCATTTCCCTCGAGACTCTCCTTTGCCCTTATGACTCTAGCTTGTGTCAAGCTGACAGAAAACTAAGCAGCAGGGTACACATTGACCGGCTTGCACACACAGGTCACTTTGCTCTCATTTGCACTGGAACCTCCCTGCACCCCACCACACGCACACACACGCGCGCGCGCACACACGCACACACACGCACACACACGCATACACACATGCACACGCACACGCACACACACGCGCACACACTCCCCCACCCCTTCTTGACTCTTCTTTCTGTGTAGAGCACGTTGGTATGTGAAGCATCTCGTCTGATACTTCCTAAAGATTCTCTGTGGAAACCCACTAGAGGGTAGCCATTCTGAAAGCAGAGATTCTTCCTGTTTCGTGCAGCTGGCTGATCACGGACTGAGGGTTCAGGTTCTTGGTTACACCCTTAGGCTATTGAGTGTCAGCAAACTCTTATCGAAATTGAATTGCAGCCTGCCAGAGTCACTTTACAGATCTACAAGAGCAACATGCCACGAGGTATTTGTTTTGGTTGTCTTCATTTCAGAGGTCGTTGTAGTGCTATGACGACAGAAGGAGCCTAATAGGCCTTGGTACTTCCAGTGCTTTCTTCACTTTCAGCCTCATCTGTCTCTCCAGCCTGGCTGAGGCCCTTCTCCTTCCCTGGTCATCAAGGGAAGAAGTGACGTCAGCTCAGTCCTGCACCCTCCCAGCTCCAGTTGCATCAAGATCACCCTGCCCTTCGATAACTTCCTTTACTTGAAGAAGTGGCTAAAGTCAACCTTTAGAAGAGTAGAGTTGCACGAAGTCAAAAGAAATGGACTTTATTTGTAACAAATGCATGCATACAGAAGATTTATGTAAATTGAACTTCTTCCTGAATTATCAGTGCCACACAAAATACCCCAATGGATTTGTCCGTGGACATTTACACAGGCTCATAATACACGAGGGTATAAAGATCAGAGAGTTCAGTTGAACTCAGCAAACTCACCCCCTGCTTTGAGTTCAGCATTAAAGAGCAATAAATGGTATGGTTTTGATTTCCCGGAAAGCCTCTGTAAGAGTCCACAAGAGAAGTAAACTGTGCTAGCAGAGACCTGTGGGAAGGTACCTTACAGTACTCTGCAGTGAAAGACACTGGGTAATAACCTTACAGAGAGCTGTAGAGACTGGAGTATTGCTGGGTATGAGTCTGGAAGAGAGTGTGCATACTTAAAATACTATAAAGGATCATAAACATGGAAATTTTCAAAGAAAATTTCAGTTTCAAAATTGGGAAATGAGGCAATTTCTAATTTAATTGAGGTGATATTAAGAAAATGCAGGCATGCTCAGTCATGTTCACCTGAAGGACTGTTCATTCTTCATGTTCACCCTTGTACTATAGGATCCAACCATTAGGTGTTTCAAGCTTGACAGGGTGGTGTCTGTTGTTGTGATTGGGGAAAGTATTTCTCACAGAAACTTGGAAATGTTGAAACAAAAACGTTGGGATACAGGTCATACGTGTCTCAATAGGCAAAAACTACAATTTTCTCGGGTATGTGACTAACCCTCCCCCACTTCTCCACACCAGCCTAAATTGTGGAGGATCCACAGTAACGAGTTCTTTCTGAACAGGAACTACCCTGGCCTTACTGCGCATGTCGGAAATGGATACAGAGTTCGGCTATTGGAGTTTTTGCCTCCCTTTATTAATAATTCTCTACTGCCACAAAACACAGTGGTAATGGTCTCTCCTGAGTGCCAGTTTTGACACGTTCTTGATGCACGAGTTTCTCATGGAAAGAAATATCTGCTTTCCACAGCCGTGAAGAATATTTACATGTTTTTTAAGTACTGCACTGCAGAAAATGATGGAAACCGACTTCATTTTCCGTCTGCATCCGCATACTCCTTCAGGCATCTGCCCACATCGCTGTGTCTCATTTTCTCTGTGAATAGTTCATCAAAGACACTCTTCTGCTTCGGAGTGAAGTAATTCACCCAGTCGCCTACCACTCCTGGAAACACATGAGATCTATCAGGCAAGAATCAGCCTAAACCACAGCACCCACAGAGGAAATCTGCCGGCTCTGCCATCTCGATAGGGGACTGATTTCCACTTGCTTATTTGGTGTTTCTGGTAACTGCCGTGGTGGTTGTGTATTCATTTCTACAGTTCATAATTATTTATTTAAAGGGAGATCTAAAATACATAAACGTGTTTTTGTTGGCGTACCCAAGAGCATTACAGCTTAAATGTGATAAACTTGTGAGTGAGGGATGTGGGCACAGTGGAAATTCTCCAGTCGCCTCCCCAGGTGCTTGCCCGGCAGAAGCTGAGTCGAGAATCGTCATAGAGATGGGTAGCTCACCTTATTTTCAGACACCGTTTTCTATAAAATTAACAGTGAAGAGCTGGACGCATTACACACCAGTTTTCAATATAAGACGTTTGGTGATAAATGTGCATGGCCTGCCAGCCTCTCTTAATTTGAAAAGTTGTGTTTTTCATCCCCCCCAGAAATGACTTCCTCACTTCTGTTAAGCTAGCTTTGTCAAACTTGGGGCTCAGGCTCCATCCCTGGGGTGTCCATGTCTTATGGGCAATGGCTCATTATTTTGTCTCTATACTTTTTCACTATGATCTTTTGTTTCCTTTCAAGCATGGGACAAGAGCTAGGCATCTCTCATCATGTGTTAAGAAAACACATGGCTGACATGGCTGGATTGTGCTGGACAATGTCATCCACAAAAAAAAAAAAAAAGAAAGAAAGAAATGCATTGTATTCAAGGAATGGCTTCTTTTTCCACATTCTATGTATTCTTTTTATAAATGCTGATATTATATGATTGTTTTTTAGATGGGATTATATTAAGTAGTTCCGGTTGGCTTGCAACACACATATTAAATGGATTAGGCTGGGCTCAAATCTGCCTACCTCAGCCTCTAGAGTGTCAGTATTAAAGATGTGATCCATCATGTCCAGCCCATATGAAAAACTAATATACTGAGATTATACTAAGACATCATGAACCTGAACTCAGAAAACTATGCCCTATGGACTAAAAGTTGCTCACCATTTATATTTTGGGTTTTGTTATTGCTGCTGCTGTTGTTTTAAAGATTTGTTTACTTTATGAGTATACATGTTTTACATCAGTGCGTGTGTCCAGTAGGAGCTAGTCTTCTGTGTTTACAACCAGCACAAGGAAAACGCCCATGTGGACCTCAGGTGCTGTTACTTGTAAGTAGTGATGGTGAGTATCACCTGGTGATGTCTGCCTGGGTTACAAGTACAGTAGGTTAGGGAGGCGGGGGTGGATAACCACGGCGGGGGTGGATAACCACGGCGGGGGTGGATAACCACGGCGGGGGTGGATAACCACGGCGGGACTGTCTCCCGTGTTTATGGGTTGAGGTTGAGAACAGTGATCGCTCTGTTCGCAGGACTCTCGAGGGTGGTGTACTGAAACACATGGCTCCTTTCACACTCGCGACCTTTCCCTTCGCCTCCTCGCTCCTGCCTTGCTCTGAGTCTGTCTGTCTCCTGTTCGTCTCCTCTCCGGAATCCCGCTAACCTTTTCCAGTCCTCTCTCTCTAGCTACCGCGTGGTCTTCCTGCTCTGTTCTCACAGCTCATGCAGACCGGCCTTTGCGTCTCTTAGTCTCGTCCACCCTTCCCATCTTCACTACTGTGGAAACTGCTCAGAGCCCATGAACAATTGACAGGTCCCCATATGTGACCCTGGCTTTCTGCCTAATTCTGGCCCATGTCTTTTCTTGGCTCCCTTAGACTGTGTCATTCTCTTGGGTATTAATATCCCCTGAGAGCCATCGTCTGTCATTTGTGCCACCAGCTCTTGGCTCCCTCTCAGATGACTCTGCCCAATTCTACAACCTGCGGGCGGCTCCCTGACTGACTTCTCCACTAACCCAGGCACACAGGACTCCGGTTGCTGTCCCAGGGTGATCCATCATGTGTCTCACCCAGTTTATCAGCGTCTTCTCGATTCTTCTGCCTCACCCCCACATTCTTCTCACCATGTCTAGACCCTGGCTCTACCACTGTACGGAAACAGTGGGCTGCTTGTGTCGTGGCCAGAAAAAAACAGATTGGGGAGAGGAAAGCAGTGGATAGATACCAGAGGGAAGAGGGAGGAGGACAGGGGAGGAGGAGAGGGGGGAGGGCGGGGCTTCTCATGAAGTGTAAGCTCTCTGACACCAGTCTCCTCTCTCTCTCTTTCTCTCTCTCTCTCTCTCTCTCTCTCTAGCTCTGCTTCACACCTGTCCTGCTGCGGCACAGCATCCCCCTTTGTCTCCCAGGATGGACTGTGTGGCTCAGCTGTGCTGCTGACCCCCGAGCTGCCATTGGCTCTCTCTGGAAAGGGTTCCTCTCCCATCATTTCCAGGGCCATTTCTCAGATTTCCAGCCCCAGACCTACTGTGGCTGGGGAATGCTCCTTAACGCTGTGTGAAGACGAGTCCCCATGTTGGGGATCATCACCATCCTCACTACCTCAGGCCTCTGAGATAGAAAATGTCTGCCTCTTAAGAAATAAGCACAATGTTCAGTAGATACAGGCTGGCGGTTTTACCGCCAGTTAAAGAATAGCTCAGGATAGTCTTCCTGTTGCAGCTTCACAGCCAATTAAAGAATAGCTTGAGCAGAGTACTGTCTTGCTGCCATCCTTTTTGTATCCCTTGTCCTTCGATTCTCCCTAGGTTTCCCGGTTCATCCTTGACTGCCCCAAGAGTCAGGGCATCACCATGGCCAGTTTGATAAAGGGCTGAATGGTCATTAGCTAGGCAGGCAGAGGTTAGGACTTCTGGGGACAGAGAGGACTCGGAGGGGAAGAAAGGCAGAGACGCCAGCCAGATGCAGAGGAAGCAGGATGGGCGGTACAGACTGAAGGCAACTGAGCCATGTAGACGTATGTAGATGAACAGAAATGGGTTAATTTAAGTTAGAAGAACGAGATAGGAACAAGCCTAAACTATAGGCTGAGATTTCATAACTAGTAAGAAGTCTCCGTGTGGTTATTTGGGAGCTTAAGACTCTACACAGTTGCTTGTGCTATTATCATTGTGCAATGGACTTTTGGAGAAGAGATGCTGTGTTTTACTCAATATTTGTGTATTAGTTCCAGAATTAATAGCGTATTAATATTTACTTGAGTTGAATGCCTGGCTCCTTCCTAAGACTTGGTTTTGTGACCCTGTGTAAAGAAGACTGATCTACAACAATAGAAAATCTGCAGAGTTAAATGAATACCTGTTTTACACGAGTTGGCAAATATTTGCCATGTGGGGAGGATTATATTCAGTTGGGTCAAAGAAAGGAAAATACACATTGGCTTTCTAGTAAGAATCGTGCATGCATATACACATACAAAACATTTTACCTTTTTAAGTTGTAAAACCTTTCTCCTATATATGGATGAAAATTTGCATACTTGAACACAGTTTTCAGGGATATAGAGATTGCTCAGACAATAAGAGCGCTGGCTACTCTCACACTGGACCTGGGTTCAGTTCTCAGTACCTACAACCAACTGTTTAACCTCTAAGCGATCCAATGCCCCCTGCTGGCCTCCTTGGGCACCGAATACACATGGTACAGAATACTCTTACACATAAACCTTAAAAAAAAAAAAAAAAAATCCAGCTATTCCCTACTTGCCTCTAACTTGAACCTGGAGAGTTACTGGGGAATTTAATTCAGTTTCTTGCACATAAGCAATGTAAGGTCCGTTATGAAGAAATGGAGAGTACAGAGATGAAAGGGAGCGTTAAATACAACCACCGTCATCCTTCCGTGCACAGAGAAGATTGGTTCCAGGATGCTGTGGAATAACCCTTCTGTACACTGTGACGATGTCTTGCTCTCATTGTCAGCAAAAAGCTGATTGGCCGACAGCGAGGCTGGGATTTGGGGGCAGGTTGAATGCTGGGAAGAAGGGGGAGGAGTCAGAGGAGCTACCAGGCCGATGCTGAGGAAGCAGGAGATGAGCATGCTGTACCAAGAAAAGGCACCGCCCACCACGTGGCAGAGGATAGATTAAAAAATATGGGTTAACCTAAAATGTAAGAGTTAGCTAGTAACAATCCTGAGCTATCAGCTGAGCATTTACAACCAATAAGTAGTCTCTGAGAGGTTAATTAGGAGCCAGCTGCAGGGACACAGAGAAACTCCGCCTACACCAGAAATCTCTGTCACCAACGTTCTGAGATGCACATTGCTTATACTAAAGTGGCATCTATCCTCTACTTATATAAAACCTTATATATAACCTTCAGAATCCTCCCAATTCCCATCAATCATCTCAACATTACTTATTACAATCCCAACGCCACGTATGTAGTGATTACTTGCTACTGTTTAGGAAACCATGTTAACAAAAGCCCGCACGTACTCTGTATGGCGACAATTACTTTCTTCCAAGCGTTTTCAATCTCCGTGGCTGACTTCCAGGTGAAGAAAGGGTCTGTAGAAACCGAGCGCCAAATGCCCTCCCCAGTGGAAGCCCCAGATGCAGCCACCGCTTCCTCCCTTACCTTTTCGGAACACCAGGTTCCTGTCGGACGTGAGGGCACAGATGGTGTGATTGGGGTCGCAGTTCTCCTTAACTGCGTTAGTTTTCATTTCGCTGAACGATGTATTCCGAGCGATCTTACTCATCTCACTGTCGTTCACATTGATGCCAAGGAAAGCAGTGATTTTCTTTAGGCTCTTCACAAAATCCTGAGCAGTAAGGAAAGGAAAGGAAGAATGTGGAATTCACTCCTTCAAAGCTGAAAGCCAGACTCATCCATTGTTACTTTGTTTTCAGCAAGGTTTCTCTATGTCATCCCGGCTGTCCTGGAACTCGCTGTGTAGACGAGGCTGGCCTCACACTCACAGAGATCCACCTGCCTCTGTCTCTGGGGGCTGGCATTAAAGCCGTGTCCCACCACACTTCAGTTCTCACACCCTGACTTTTAACCTGGTTTGGTTTCAGCAGAGGCTGGCGGAGAAGACTTACTTTCTTCATTTCTTCATAGAACAGGAAGAGGACGTTCTTATCATTTTTGTGCTCGTCCCAGCTCAGAACATGGTCAAACCAGGAACCGTACACAACTGGAAGAGACACATTACGGGTGTTACTGCTTACAGTGGAGGCTTCACCCCACCTCTGGCTTCTCCCCACCTCAGCAAAGCGGTCAACCAGAGCAAAGCTCACCAGCTTGTAGTGAGACCTCCCAGAAGAGCTCATCTTACTGTCATTTCACATGCCTGTGTGCTGTCATGAGACGCTGGTGGCCACAACTTTTCACAATAGCCTGCGTGTTTTATTTTCTTATTTCTAGTAAATATTTTTTATCGCCATGAAAAGTAGCCACGAAATCAGACCATCAAACCATATGTTTTTTCTTTCAATATTTCTATTCTGGACTTTTGAATCTTTCTAAGGAAACATTAAGGATGGTCATTTTCTTTCTTTAAAGTGACATTCATAATTCCAGGTTTTATTACAAAAGTTCTTAAACTTTTTTTCCTTGAGCCATGCTGTCACTATATAGCCCGGGGTAGTTCTGAGACTCATAGTAATTCTCCTGCCTCAGCCTCTCAAGTGCTGAGATTATAACCAGGAGCTATCATGCCCAGTTTTTAAACTTCATTTTCTTAATGTTGTCTAAAATTTATTGCCTAAAACTTTTAGGCAACTAAATTAAAATTAAAATCATAATGAAATTTAAAAGTACTCCGTTCGACTTAGTTTAAAACTGAACAGTTCAGCCTTGGGAATTCATCTGCATTTACTATTATCTCTTTATTGTGTTGTCAAATAATAGCCTTGAAAGCTCTCAGGGCTCAGAAGTAAAACATTGTTGGGTGTGACCTTTCTAGCAGCGATGACTAGGAACGGAAGCTCTCTCCTCTCTCAGGACATCAGCTGGCTGGAGCCACGGCACACAAAGCAGAGTAAGTTTAAAAGCCCCTTCCGGGTCATCATCGCCCCGGACTCCTCCAGCTTGTGCCTTCAGTACCAAAGGTGCTGGGGTGGGAAACCCCTGCCGTCTGATCTCTCTTCACTCAGCAAACAAGGGTGAAGGAAGCCCCGAGTGCCAGACAGTCACTGCATGCCATGCTTACAACACTAAGGCTTGGAATGAATTATATATATAATATAATATAATTGCAATATAATTAACTCAAAAACTAACTGCAAATGATAATCCTGTACGCATCATTTATTTCTCTTTACAAATTCATTCTCATAATAGTGAGTTTCACTGTGACATTTTCATACATGTATAGTATTATTATTTGCTATCACACACACTGAAATCTAGATTCCACATGTGAGAGAAAGCTCGTGGTGTTTGTCCTTCCGAGTCTGACTTATTTTGTTTGCTGCCTGTTTTTAGAGCAGGAAGTTGTTGTTAACGGCGTTGGCCTTCTACCCCAGACACCACCTGATTGGTGGTAAACTCCTAAGAGTTGCCTTTCTTTTCCTTGTCGGTGCTTCCGGTCTTTTGGGGTCTTATCCAATATCTTATCTCAGAATTGCCCGAGTGACCACAGGAGCAGGAGAGGGCTGCTTTTCTAAGGGTGGCTGCCCCTTTCCCAGACTCTAATACCTGCAGAAGGGAGACTGATTTCTCTCTCACATGACCTTAGGGAACAAAGGGTAATCTTAAACACCAGCAGGGTCTCAGCCTAAGGTCAGTCTGCACCGGCTACCTCCTCCCCACAGCCTAGGCACAGCTGTGGGTGCTCCAGGGGCCTCGGGGCAGTCAGAGGAGCCTGTGGCTGCAGACTCAGAGTCATGGCCACTGGTTAAATGTCATCAACCTCACCCTTGCAGATGAACTGCAAGGCGTGGTGGAGAATGGATGTTAGAGCTGTGTGAAAAGAAGCTGTTTTATTCATCACAGATAAATTTATGTTCTACTCTTTTCCAGGCGGACGGAGGCCAGCTGAATGAAAGACTAGGGTACCGTGTGTGCCTTCCTCCTGGCCAGCACCTGGAGGTGCATCACTACCGTGTGCAGAGAGTCCTCAAACTGCTTAGAATTCTCCAGTGACAAATGGAGTTAATTTTTAAATCACAAGCCTCATTTTCCAAGTTGCTAACAGAGCTTCATTGTAAAGAAAATTTAGCGTCTAAAGTCAAGACAGATCCTCCTTTAAGGGTACTGTTTCCTGCACCTGCCTCCTGTTTTACAGTCACCCAGACTTTTCTCCGCACGCCTGGCTTTGGTTTGTGCCTGAATTGTCATCTCCTACCATCCGAGACTCCTCTACCCCGGAATGCCCATGGCAGAACAGGCTCGTGTTCACCCAATCCATATGTCTGACAAGTCAGAAGCTTTGTTTGCTAGAAACTTCCAGAGCTCCGCCCTCTTCCTACAAAAGGCAGGCTTCTTGGAGTCGTTGTGTCCTTAGAATAATTCCACCTTTCCCTCCCGAGCTCAGGTTTCACTCAACCTGGGCTCTCTGCCGATGTCACTGAGGACACTGACCGTCTGTCACAACCATCTGTGTCACCCCTGTCTTGCCGGCAGCTGTAATGGCTTTACCCAACAGCTCCTACAGTTCTCTACCCTCCCTTTCTGCCTTTGATTTCCCCTCCTCATTGCCTCGCTCCCGTCTCCTTGGCAATGCCCCCCCCCCACTACCTTAATGCTTATTTCAATAAACTAAAGAAGAAAACGCCACTGGCTTCTTCATCTTCCCTCTCTCCAGTTGCTGCTACAGGGCTTCATGAAGACTGACGCGCTACCTACTGCGCTAACGAGGCACCTGCTGGAGGGCTTTATACAATCTGTATTTAGACTCTGGACGTGTGCTTCCAACCTGTGACTCCAAGGCTCCCCACCCGCCTACACGCATTACCTTCCTGCCCTGTTCTCTGCACCAGCTGTTTCTGCCTTCTGCCCAACACCAAAATTATTATGCATGTCCTAGGTTCCAGTTTCTAGAAATCACTCTGAAAAATATAGCCATTGTGTTATAAAGCAATACTTTCTACAATGGAGGACCTTGGAAATGCACAACCCTAAGACAAGGTTTGAGAGGCAGCTAGAAATGGAAAACTGCGCGCAATGTTAAGGTATTAATTTCACTGAGCTATTAATGTGGCCCTGAAATCATCAGAACATAATATAGTTATTGTTTAATTTAACAAGCTACTACCCAGAAGGTAAATTAGATGATTCTATAAATGACTACCTGCATCTCTCTACTCTATTGTCTTTTTATGTAACTAGGAGCTGAGTACACACATGAAGGGCAGCCCAGAATATCCTGGCACCTTCCTTATGAAATAACATCCTTGGATATGCATATCTGCCTCATGTGAAACTGCTTGAGAGTGTCCTGTGTCTAGTAGAGTAGCTAAGTGGACTTCCACAGTGGGTTGCAGCCTGTAGCCTAAGTAGAAACAGAACAGTCCTGTAAGCTGCGCCTTTTTGTCGGTCTTGCTTTGTATGTGAAGGATGCATCTCTACGTAGCTTTGGAACTTGTCCAAAGCCACAAGAACTGATGCCGTGCTTTCCACGCAAAGCAAGTAGCACTCACTCTTCAGAGTCCGTCAATCACCCCTCCAAGGTCACAGGGGCAGCACGTCCACTGCACTCGTGCACGCGCATTACAGCACAAGCAGTTCTTTTTGCTCTCGCTGCTGTTGCTCGGTGATGTTGATTTTTCCCCCTGAGATGGTGTCGCATAGCCTATGCCATCTTTGAACTTGCTCTGTAGCCCGGGATCATCTTAAACACCTAATCTTCCTGCATCAACCCCTCAAGTGCTGGATTGCATGTCCATCCTCTGTCTTACAAATGGGAACAGTAAAGTCGTGGCTCACATCCAGATAAGCTTTTCTGAATCTTTGGAGACAGGGTTTGCACAGGATTGAGTACCCAGATGTGGGATATTTATAGGTAAGATCCCATTACAACTAGAGATCTATTCATTCGCCCAGGAAGGTGTAAGAGAAATGCCTGGAAGGGAACGTTTTCCCAAGCACCTGTGCCCTCCTCCAAGGCCATACTGCTTCCCCAGCACCAGCTAGCCTTGCTCCATTCTGACCTGCACTTTCTTTTATGACTGTGTCCAAAGAAAGCTAAGGTGTAGAAGAGGAGCAGGGTTACATGGGTGCAGCCCCGCCCTCCCCAGCCCACCTGGTGTGTCCCCTTCTGGGTACAGGTTCATAATAAGGGCTGGAGCAGGCTGGAAAACAGGAAGCAGAGAGGAGGGGGGGGGGCTATGATGTGCAAAATGGGGACAAAAAAAATTAGCATTTCCTGTCTTGAGGAAAAGCAGACTGTCTGTCCTGGGGAAAGAATTGTGTGTTTAGACTCTGCTTATTCCAAAGATGGACTTGAGGCAGAGAGAGGCATGCTAACTAACCATCCTTAAATATCTGGAGGACAATCATAATCACATGACTTTTTAGACTGTACATACTGTGACACCAGGGTAAGGAGAGAGACTTTGGAATAAACATTAAATCTCGCCTCTTGTTTGTTATGTATCTGTGTGTGAGTTCCTTAGCCTCCCAAGTTTGTCACTCCTTGGAGTTGGAAAATGATGATAATAGCATCTGCCACACCAGGTTCTGGTGATGGTGAAATAAGATGATATTTACCTAGCGCGTAGCTGGGCATCTCAGTCACATGGGAAGTGCACAGTGACCCAACCACATTATCTACTGGTACAAAACTCTCAAACACCAAAACTTCTAAAACTCAAAAAGGTGATGCGTAAATAAATTCCTTAACCTGGGTTGAGTAACCCAGGATGGGGTAGGGGTGGGGAATTAGCAGAAAGTCAGATAGTCCAGGTTTTTAGACTGCCAATTCCTTGCAGTTTATTCTTTAAGTAAAAGCTGTTCATTAAATGTGTAACTAGACAAGGCTTGCAGGAACCCCACCCAAAAAAGAGATTGAGTCCTCCAAGCCTTCATCATTTTGAACGCATGTCTCCTAGTATCTTGCCATACTATCTTTATTTAACATTTAAGAATGAAGACTTTTTAAGTCGCCCCCACACCTCTGAGCTGGAGGGAGAGAGATGAACTAAATGGTGGTGGTGCAGGGTGGCAGAACCTGGGAGGCTTTGCCAATTCATGGGAGCAGTTTGCTCAGGATTTGTATATTGGTTTCCTTGGGAGAATGTGTGTGTGCAGATGTATTTCCTTTGCCCATGATGTCTTCTAGGCTACCTAATTATCCTCTACTTAGTGCATGATGACTAGTGGTACGTGGGAAACAGTTACGTTCTTAGAAAGATTTAATCTCTATTTTGAAGATATTATAACTCACTTGGTAAACATGCTCCTCCCCAGAGGCATAACAGTGACTGTGAGGTAATTAAGGATTTGCTTAGAAGAAACAAGGACCCTGCAGAAGCAGGCAGTCACGATCCACCAAAGGTTTGGAACTCGCTTTCATTTTGAGTGAGAAAGATGAATGTATATGATGATTTTCAAAAGATGATTGTCTGGGTTGGCAGATGGTTCCGTTGATATAAACACTTGCAGCACAAATACCAGGATCCGAGTTCAAATCCCAGCATCCAGGTTACAAGACAGCTGAGCGTGTGCAAGTGCATGTTCTTAACCTCAGCACAGCTGGGGATGGAGACAGACTGGAAGATACCTACCATCCCCTACCTGCCAGCCGGGCTCCAAGTTCAGTGAAAGAGCCTGCCTCAAGGAGGCCAGGTGGGGACTGAGAGAGCAGGACACTCGGCATTCTCTTCAGAACTCTGCACACCAGTGAGCTTTTGTACACACTCACACATGTTCTCGAATTCTCATAGATACATGCACACACAGGCACACTCACACACACACACACGCACATGCATGAACACACACAAGTAAATAAACACAATTTAAAAAACTTTGAAATGGTGAGTGTTATAGCTACCGTCTCCTTTGAGGAACAGCTCTAAAAACGCAGCCCACGTGTCAGGGGACGGGAGGTTGGGGTTATCTCTGTAGTAGTGGAACAGGGACACGGCTGTATCCTTCGGATCTCTGACAATGTAGACAATCTGTTGAAATGTGCAAACAATGTGTTGTAGGATGAAAATAACCACAAAACAAAGTGTTTCCCAAAAGAAAGCTGTGGGTAAAACTCACTATATAAATCCTGTCTTCTTCTTATTTTTTTTTTTAATAGCTGTAGCTGATGACGAAACAGTGTTAGGTCTCTGTCTCTGGATCTAGTGTGCACAGTAAGAGTCACCCATGACGAATGTGACAAGTAGACTTAGACTCCAGAGGTCACAGAGGTGGCTGGGCTTTCTGGGTTTCTAAGGAGTCCCCAGCAGACATGCTGCTCTCAGCCCAGTGGGCAGCTTTCTGAATCAGTATGCTAAGCGTGGGCCTGTCTGCTAGGGCCAGGCATGGGAGAACCCCTATTTGTTGTCAGGCAAAATTACTTTTTGCTTATCTGTATGTTAGAAAACATTTGCATGCAGCAAGGTTTTACACAGACTTTTTTTTTTAAATAGGAAGAACTATCGTTAGACTTCCTTCTTGACAATTTACTTCCTCGAGCAGCAGAACGCCTGAGATCCCCTTCCGATGTCTAGGAAAACTGCAGCTACAGTTCACTCCAGAAGCACACAATCAGTGTGTGCCATATACCAGGTGACGTGCAGTGATCCAGTTCCGGTGAGAGCAACAGTGAGCAAGCTGGAAACGTCACAGCCCTCTTTGAGCGTATAATCAGCAGAGGGAAGAGACAATTAAATGTGCTCTGGACAGTGGAGCAGGGTAGGAGTTCTAAGACAGGGTTACAGAGGAACAGGGGGAACCCCCCCCAAGAAAGCAATGGAAGCTGGGTAACGGGGCATGTCCGATTGTAGTCGACATCACGCAAGTTAAGAACGATATGTTCTTTCGTTCTGAATTGACAACTGGAACAGACACAATTTACTTAGATAAGACAGAACTTGCTGAGTCACTGGCCACACATTGCTATCTTTTAGTAGCGTGTTCATAGTCCAGATGTTGTGTGGTCCATATGAATGGTGCCTGGTTCCTCATTAATTGGGAGGTGTATAAAGGTCAATGTGTTCCGGAATGAAGAACCACCTTTACCCAGCCACACCCACATTCTTCTCTAGCTTACATAACACCAAGCAACCTCACAGGCCTTGGGCCCTCTCTTACAGTGCCAGGCTCTCAGAACAGAACCACAGAGACCCAAAAGCCTGGTAAGCTCACTTCTAAAACTCCATAGCATGGACAAGATGAGATAAAGTAGCAAAGCCATGGGCCTCCACTGATCCGTGGGAAGTAGTTGTTTGGGTAGAAAAGGCCCAATGTTACATGTCTGTGTTATCTACACAGGAACGTAATAAAATCCATGGTCGTGCGTATTAGAGTCAACCAAGAGCCCTGCAGAATCACTGGAGGAAGTTAGGGACCATAAAGGAAGGGCAGAGTGGTTCTCTGGAAGAGGCAGGGAAAGGGACATTAACTAAAGTATCATGAGGGGCTAGAGAGATGGCTTAGTGGTTAAGAGCCCTTGCTTGTTCGTCCAGATGACCCGAGTTCAGCACCCAGCACCCACATTGGTCAGCTCACAACCATTTGTCATCCTAGATCCAGAGGGATCCAATGTCATAAGTACCCATGGACCTCTGTACCTCTGTACTCACACGAACACACACACACACACACACACACACACACACACACAAATAATAAAAATAAAATCATTGTAAAGCATTGTAAAGGCAGATCAAGAGAAAAATAAAACAACTGTCTGTACCTCCCCGATGCCCCCTTCCACCCTCCCACCACACACGCCAGCTTTACGCACGGTGCACAGACGTAAATGCAAGCAGCAGATACCTATACACATAAAATAAAATAAAGACAACAGAAGCGGAGTGAAAGTGAAATGTTTTAGGGGACATTTGGGGGGAGGAGCCAGTCCTGCATGGGCAGGGGAAGCTTAGCTGACTCTTGGGCCTTCAGGACTAACCTACAAGCCCATCCATGGAGGGCCCATATGCAGGTATGTGCAGCACTACCTCTGAGCTGATAAGAACAAGACGTTCAGCTTGTGCGTGCGTCGATGGACAGCCAGGGGGCCTGCGGTTGACTTTGATAAGAGAGTATTGCTGAGTCACTTAATATTATACTATCTTCTGGAGACCAGAGGGGAGGAAGGAACTTGGTTCCCATTAGTGCCATTTAGGAAGGGTTGCGCCTTAAGGCTGAACCATCGGTGTGGAGGTTGAGAAGCACCTGTCTGAGTTTCTGGTTCTTAAGTGGGCTGTGACCCGCATCTGTCATGTGTGTGTGACAGACACACAACCTCCTGGCTGGTGGTGATTGCTTTAAGAATGACATTAGTTACAGGATTTAATTCCCCCTTTCCCGCTCCCTCGCTCTCTCTGTGGGTGTGTCTGTGTGTCTGTGTGTCCCCCATCTTCCTCCCTTCTCCAGCGCTGCTTCCATGCTCCCCCCCTCCCTCTCTGGGTTTTGCATTTCACCTGGGCCTGGAAGAGGAGAGGCTCTGACTGCCTTTCTCTGTTTGCCTCCCTCCCCTCCCCCTCTGTCTCAGCCTGTTAGAAAGAAAGAGGGTTCATTGAGTTTTGAAAATGTAATTGAGTTAAGCTTCCCTGTTCTGACAGACAGACAGAGCAAAGCTCTGACATTCTGACCCTGACTGGTTGTTTGCCTTTGTTTGTGTAGGAGTGGGAACGCACAGAGCTGTGGTCACAAAATGATGGTCCTTGGAGACCCTCATATGCCACGGGAGCCTTGTTTTTGTTTGTGTGGTTTAAACAATGACTGGAGTGGTTGGAGGAGGCTCATTTCTGGGAACTCTGTATGGGTCTTGTCTCCTGGTCTCTGATTTCCAAATATTATTACTCTGTACTTTATTTCTGATCTACCTGTTCCTGATTCACACATTTGTTAAAAGATTAAACTGAATGCCAATCCCGTACACTAGAAATTCACTTTACTTGCTGAGCTATTTGCAACTAGTGGATTTTTGTTTGTTTGTTTTTGTTTGTGTTTTGTTTTGTTTTCTGTGTAGATGTGTTTTAGCCAAACTGAAAATATTTGTTATATGTAACCTACAAGCATGGTGTCTTCCTCACTTTATCATACAAAACCCCCATGAAAATATAAATGGGAAAAAGAAAATCGTGAAGATGGAAAATGTTCTTTTAAATTACAATTGGCTTTTAAAATAATAACCTATGAGTTAATAATAATGTCTCGAGGAAACAGACCTTTAGCATTTCTTGTTCTAATAATTTTTCTTAGAAAAATAAAAGAATTAAATATAAGTGGGACTTGCTTTGCTGTCATCAAATCCCATGACAGGGCCAAACTCCAAGAACCCGAAGGCTGGAGGGATTGCTCAGTGGCCAGAGCCCTGGCAGGGGATCTGGGTTCAGTTCCCAGCACCCACATGTGGCTCACAAAAGTCTGTAACTCCAGCTCTAGGAGATCTGATGCCTTCTTTGGGACTCCCCCCCCCCACTGCAAGTACACACACACACACACACACACACACACACACACACCCCTGAAGGCACTCATACATACACATAAAATAAAAAGAAAATGAATCTCTTGGGGGGGGGGAGAATTCACCATTCCCAAGGCTGTAGGCTGAGAGTGGGACTTACCTTACATTTCTTCTGTTTAACAGTCACAGGGGTCATTTCATAGCTCAGATGCGTTGGGATAACCCTTCTCGAAGGGACCGCTTTTAGCTCTTCCAGCTTAGAAACGTCTCCCCATTCAATAGGATTTGTGAGAGTGATCCCAGCATTGGGAATGTTCTCAATGACTTCTGCCACCCAGTGGGTTCCTTCAAGTAAGCAGAGAATGAAATGCAGCTGTGATTAAATGGCTCGGCTGAGGAAACAGATGCAGAGCACGAGCATGTGGAGAGAACAAGGCGAGCATGACTGTATTCAGTGGTCGAGACTACGATGCCCCTGCAACCTGATGAGGCGCTCACTCGTCTTGAGTAGAACCCTGCTACAAGAGTGAACTGGGTGCTTGCTTGCTGACTCCTTGGTATAAAATAATTAATTACTCATTTCTAGGCCCTTCAAATGGCCAACTCACAGGCATGTTCTTTCATGTAATTCCCATAGCCCCGTGAAGCCAAGAGCCTTCTTTTATAGACTATCTTCTACCTTCCCAACAACCCCCTCACAGACACACATAGTCTCCCTTTTCTGTGTCCCCACGGTATCCAGCTCCTTCCTCTGTTACCACGGTGTATGTGAATGTTCACCTCCCCATTTACCCCTTCAAGATAGACACAGATCTCCCTGTGTGCATACAATAGTATTTAGTCAAACCAAGGATTAAATCATAAATGTTTGTTACACTCGGGAGCTAACAGGTTGCTCCCCTAGAATCTGGAAAGAACACATGAGTTCTGTTTTGCTTTTGTTTTGAGGAAATGATGATGATGGTGATGGTATTGTTTTAAATGATGTGGGGGAGTCAATGTCACAGAATGCACATGAAGGTCCGAGGACAACCTTGTAGAGTTGGTTCTGTCTTCCTCCTTTATCTGTTCCCTGGATCAAATTCAGATTGCCAGGGTTGCCAGGGTTTTACCACAGAGCAATTTTGTTGACCTTTGTTTTTGTGTTTGTTTGTGATGCAGGGAATTGAACTCGATGCTTCATTCATGCTAACAAGTGCTCTTCCACAGAACTTCCCACACCCACATGCCCAGGCAAGAATACTACTCTACGCTTCGGTGAAGCAAATGATGGCCATGTTTCAATTTTGCAGCAGAAAAATGAAAGCTTGCAGGAGGGAGTGGGGGCTTTCTTCTAGTCGGATGACTACATCCCTAAAGAGATTAAATCAGTGCCAATGTCCACCATTTCATTGTGATTTCAATGAGGTGCAATAGCCACAACTTTATGGCTGAGTAAATATTCAAGAGTCTAAATAGCATTCTGATTTGCTTAATAGTTTTATTTTAAATGTACTTTAGAAAAGTTTTTTTTGTTTTTATTTGTTTCATTTGTTTTTTAGATGTATTTATTTTACAAGTGGGTGCTTTACCTTAGGTATTATGTGTGTGTATCATGTGAGTTCCTGGTGTCTGCAGAGGTCAGAAGAGGCCATCAGAATCCCCTGAACTGGAGTTAAGAGGTGTGTGTGTGTGCGCGTGCGCATGTGTGCATGTTCAGAAAACCTCTGATCCATGTGCACTTTGCCGTTCCCCACAGTGAGGACCTCCTGGTTTAACCGATGACTATGGTGCACAACCCACTGAAAGGCAGCTTGGCTGTTGAACTGGTAGCTACCAACTTTCTCCATGTGTCCCCTATTCTGGACAACTGGGCATCATATAACAAAACTAAATTAGCATAGACCCAATTCCAGTGGTGGAGAGACAGGCTTTACTTACAGTAGCTGATGCCCATGTGCATACAACTACTCAGGGATCAACTCTGAAGTAAAGTTTTTAGCAAGGAAAGTATGGTTCTTCTAGGTCAGATGAGAAAGTTGCAGACCACTGAGCATGAACTGAACAAAAGCTGTTTAGTCATCACAAAGACTGGCAAGAGACACAATGGGAATTTGTATAAGCTATTTTTCTTATTACGTAAGATTATCAACACTTAAGTATCTTCATAAACTGAATAAAAAGGAAAGCTCTGCAGAGCTTTAATTATTTCATCTGAATCTTTTTAAAGTAAAAAAATTTAAGTTCTTAAAAAACGTGTTTCCCCTTTGGAATAAATCTCTGATGAATAAGGTGCTATAGAAACTATTGTTTTGCTTGTTTAGTTGCAATAAGGCACTATAGAAACTATTGTTTTGCTTGTTTAGTTGCAATAAAGCACTATAGAAACTATTGTTTTACTTGTTTAGTTGCAATAAAGCACTATAGAAACTATTGTTTTACTTGTTTAGTTGCAATAAGGCACTATAGAAACTATTGTTTTACTTGTTTAGTTGCATTAAGGTGCTAAAGAAACTATTGTTTTGCTTGTTTAGTTGTAATAAGGTGCTATAGGAACTATTGTTTTGCTTGTTTAGTTGTGCATCTGCATCTTACAGTAAGTACGCTTTAGGAAAAAACTCACCTGATTTGGGGTAGGAAACCAGAAATATGTCATCGTCTCTCGCATCAAAAGAATCCAAGGAGCCGAGGAGTTCTTCCGAAGACATGGCAGAGAAGAGGATGCCTTTGTACCTGTGGAGGAGGCTTGGCTGACTCTGGGATGACATCCTCTCCTGATCTATTAGAAGCTGTGTATTCAAGTCACAGACAATTCTGGCCTTCGGTCACAACCCGAGCAGAGTTGTAGAGTAGTCTTGGTATCTCTAAGCTGACATTCCATGTGTCTATATATACCTTTTGCAATTCTTCTCAAGAATAATTTTTAAACCATAAGTGAACCAATGCCTATTATAAAAATGGTGTTATCTGAATTTTTCTGATAACATGGGTTACAAAACGATTTCTTCCACCCAGTTCAGGTTCATTTTCATAAAACACTATCACCATGTTAAGATAATATCACTAATCAAATCCTTTGGCCTAAATAGGTAAAATCTTTTCATCACTATAATGAATTATATCACTGAAGGAATACTTAGGAAAATTAGATTTCCTACTTATTAACAAGGTATAGGAAGTAGCCAGTATTTACAGTTTGTGGGAAAGGGGACAGATACATGGAAAATCAGAATGTTTCCAGGAATTGTCAGATGCTCTTGCGACAATCTTTATGAGCTACGATCTAGAAGAGATTCAATGTCAGAATACTCATGACAAGAAGAGATTCCCATAAGGACATTTACAAACAAGAACCATAGACAGAAGGAAGCTAATTCTTGTTGCAGTTACTTTTAGTCTTTGTCAAGAATATTCCAATATCCCAGATTCAATTAGCTACAGTAATAAAATGTCCAATTATTCAGCAAACCACAGTTGAAAAATTTGGCTTGTCTAACAATTGAAGGGATAATATACATTAATGAAGAGATGAACAAACTTTTAATTGAGCACCAAAAATAAAGATACACTGTAGGGGAAATATTTGAAGAAGAGATGCCTACAACAGCAACAGACACAAAACACCATACATGTAGGCAATAACGAAGGATTTATTCCTAGGATAAGCATGTGAACTGAGAGTAGCTTCTGGGTCGTGAGGTCATCACACAAAATGAACCGGACTCCTGTGCTCCAAGAGAAAGCAGAGCTCACCAGTGGGGCTGTAGCTCGGTTGCCTAGAAGGGGTGAAGCCCGGGAATGGATGCTCAGGAGCAAATAAACTATGTATGGTGAGGCAGGACTATAGTCCCAACACCCAGCAGGTGTAGGTTGGAGGACTGGACATTCAAGGTCCTTTTTAAAAAATGAAGGAGTTTATTACTAGGAATAGTTTTAATGGTTAATTTTTGCCTCCATTGGCTCTCTTTGAAAACATTTACTTCACCTTGATAAAAATATGATTTCATCATTTCTCCCCCTCCCATCCACTCCTCTCAGCTCCCTAATTCACACCCTCTTCTTTGTTGTTAGGTGCACATATGAATGAATAACTCTGTAAAATTAACCCTGCTGAGGCCACTCAGTGTTGCCTGCATGTGTATGTTTCCAGGGACGACCACTTGGCACTAGATAATCAATCAATGGGACTCACCCCTGGGAAATATTGATTTCCCCTCTCGCCGCAGTTGTTAATTACTCAGAGCTCTTTATCTCGGGGTAGAGCCCATGATATTCCTACCATCTACACCAGGGTATCAACTGACGTTGGAATTGTTTAGGTTTTGTTTTAGACAGCCATGCTGTTGAGATTCCATGGATATAGTTCCCCTGTTGCGGCTAGAATCTCACAGCAGACTTCCTAGTCTACCGGACCTTGCAACCTTCTGCCCTCTCTTTCTTGATGGTGTCTGAGCCTTGGGTGAGGAGATGGGTTGTAGATGTTCTCCCAGGTTCTGGGCACCCTGTGGGCCATGTGTTCTCTGTATTTTTACCAGCTATGGTTTTATGCTATGGTCTTTATCTGCTGTGAACAGAAGCTTTTTTGATGAGAGATGAGAGCTCGACTCATCTGTGGATATAAGGACAAGTACTTAGAATGTAGTCAGAAATGCTGCTAGTCTAGTAAGTAGTAGGTGGAGAGTCCCCTTTAAGAACCAGGGTCTCACTAGCCCCAACAGTTAGCTAAATTTCCAGTACCGGGCAGATTTCCCTCCTGTTGAATCGACTTTAAGTCCAATTAGACAACTGTTGGTTATCGGCAAGAGATAAGCACAGCTATGGCAACTTCATGGGTATCTGGCCATGCTTGTCATTGTTGTGGTTTCTCCTCGTTACTGCCGGGTAGGACTATTGATCGCTCTCCTCCCTTGGCAGCTTGTGTATCAATTTCCAGTCCTTAGGGAGGAGGATTTCCCATTAATTCCAACTAAAACCCTCTGAGTCCTATGTCCAAAGTTCATGGCGTCTTGAGCAATAGGGTCTTACCTTCAACTTCAGGGAGACAACCAAGGGCGATAGCACTAGGTTTGGGGAGTGTCTTAGACAACCCTCATCAATACTCTAAAGGAGTTAGTCATGCCTACTGCTGGAGTTCTTTATTAGATAATTTATGGAGGGGGGAGTATTGTCACTTCAAGTGATGAAGCTTCATTTAAGATAAATAATGCAAGCATGTATACTTGGTATTATATGGAATTTTGGGATTCCCCATGTCTTTTTCAAGCCCCATTAGTGTAATCCATGTCTCCTCCCTCTTTTTCTGTATTGTCTTCCATCCTGCATCCCAGCTAAAGACCTTCCTTGGTTTTCCCATTTCCCTCTTCGTAGAACCTGTATCTTGCTATTCCACTCTCTAGAGCCACCCCTGTGCCCCAAATCCTGGTCCTTTATCCCTGGTTACTACGGTTACTCCAGATTATTTACTTACATCTGAATATCTGGAGTTAGAAACCACAGATGAGAGAGATAATGGCATGCTTGTCTTTCTGGGCCTGAGTTACCTTACTCAGTATTCACTCTTTCTAGTTATTCCTGACTACAGAGTAAGTTCAAAGTCTGTAGTGATGTATTATTTATGATTTATTAAAGCTTGACTGAGGATTCAGAAAAGCAAAGTCACCCTCAAACTATGGAGATCAGGCAGTGGTGATACACACCTTTAATCCCAGCTGCCAGAAGCTAGGAGGTGGTGGTACACACATTTAATCCTAGGACTCAGGATTAAGAGATAGACAGATCTTCCTGAGTCCAAGGCTACCAGATTTACACAAGACTGAATCAGTCGAAAAGAGAATTATATCTCACACGTTTAATCCCAGCTTAGGGAAATATATAAGACAGAAGCAAGGTCTCAGAGAGGCATTCATTCATTCTCCAGCCACACTGAGGAGAGGCAGCAGTTTGAGACTTGGTGAAGAGCTCATGTGTGGGTCATCCCCTTCAGCCTGAGCTAGACGCAAGAGCTAGTGTCTGGATGCTTTGTTTCCCTGATCTTCAGGTTGAACCTCAATATCTGTCTCTGGGTCTTTTACTAATTTGTGTTACAAAAGTCAACCTGGCTAACACAAGATTTTGTGTCAAAAGAAAAAAGGAGAATTTGAGAAAGGAGTTGGAAACCGATACTATTTATTATAATATGAAAAAAAATCATGTTGAAGTATTAGTCTAACACAGTGTATTCAAAGCAAAGTACAAGGAAAATAATCCAGCATTACAGAGATCATCAGTGACTACTGAGATAGAAATAATGGAAATAAATCATATCACAAAGCAAATGACTCAGGATTATTATAATGTCAGAATTTTCCTTATGTTTTCTAAAAGTCAATACAGTTGGATCTAAATCCAAATAGCCAGTCACACACACACACACACACACACACACACACACACCAGGACCAAATGTCAGTTGGCAACAACTATGTAGACACAAAAAGTCCTAGAATACCCAAAGGAATCTTAAAGGGGAAAACTCTCGGGACTTAGATTCCAAGGGATGCTATAAAGCAGTGGTGGTTAAGGATGATGTAGGGTGAACCCAACATGACACGGATGGGCCAATGGAATAGAAGAAAGGGTCCAGAAAATGACACACACATACACGGTCACTTGATTCAGTACAGGAGGATTGGAGCAAGCAAGGGAACTTTTTTTTCAATGAATGGTACTCATTCTTGGGAGTGACATTAATCCTGCCTTCTACTATATATAGGTAGTTAAATTTTGGAATAAAAATCTTCTAGGGGAAAACAGGATATCATCTTCAGAATCTTGAGTAATGCAAAGATTTCTTCAAAAAGATAGGTAAGATTACTAACTGTTAAAACATTATAATTGGACTCCATTAAGTTAGGAAGTGGTGTTGGTTAAAGTCATCGTTAAGAGAATAAAAAGCAAGATGCAGGCTGCCAGAAAATATTGAAATTCATATATTAAACTCTGTGCTCATTAGAAGGCTTTTAAAATAACATGCTAAGATCAATATTTTTTTAAATTTCAAGCAACTCAACAACAAAAATGAGGGGAGATCTGAGTATGTCATTGGAGAGTGCTCAGCATTAGTATGCATGAGGTCATGGGAAAGTAAGGCTAACCCTATAAATGAGGCTTGTTTCCAGAGCCAAGGGCCCGGTGGACCGACTCACTGGGAAGCAATAATCAATAGTAACCAGTCTTTTAAAAGTAAGGTGAATAAACTAACATGCAGTATCTCTAGAAATTGTCCTAATGGTAGACAGCAGTCAAAACTGTTTATTCAAGAAAATCTGCATAGTCTGCTGTTTCCCTCAGGCCCCTTTCCCTGCCCCCTCAACAAGGAAGGACACTCCATTACAGACAGTAAGGCTAAAATGCAAGGACCTTTGGGAAGACAATCCTCTCCTGCTTTTCAGTACCTCTACTCAGTGAGGTGCTCTCTTCCCAAGTGTGTCAAGTTCAGCTGACTCTGACTATGACAGGAACTTGGGGAGATTCCAGGCCCAGCAGATAGTACATGAACTCTCTCTCTCTGTGTTCTCACTAAGAACAAAATAGGGCCAGGAGAACATTAAGCTAATTAACCAAACTGAGCCTGTGTTGTGACAATTGGATCCTCAAGGGAGGACTCAATCTTCAGCTGGTGGTCACAAGGCCTGATACCTGAAGAGGATGGTTCGGAATACAGTCAAGGGAAGGAGGCCATCAAGGGTAGGACAGACGGGAAAGGCTTTCATAATCAGCAATGAGAAAC